TAAATAAATAAATAAATAAATAAATAAATAAATAAATAAATAAGGTAACCAGTGCTGACAGTGTTGTCATTCTGACATTTTCCTTCATGAGAATTGGTTTCCTAGCTCCTCACTGATTTAGGTGAAGTGCTGGATGTCAGCTCTGACAGTGTCATTCTTTGCCTGCCACAATTTTCTCCCGAGGCTTCAGAGGACAAGACCTCAGAAGCAGCTTTATGAAAGTCAAAGACTCTTAAATAAATCTGCAACACTGATCTGTTTCAGACCTCTAACTGAACTTATGAGTTGTGAAAATTCCAGAGCTAGTCAGAAATGACTTATTTTGCAAATGAACTTAAAATGAGGTCCAGTGCTGAGAACAGCCTGGCCCATGTTGCAGTCTTTGGCTGACAAAGACTACAGTCAAATCCTCTGGCCTCCAGTTTAGGAATTATTCTGTTCGTTCTGAAATACTGGCCAGCAGCCCAGGGTTAGTCCATGATGCAGTGTGCAATAGTCCTCACCTAGATGAAGAAAGCCACAGTAAGGTACATTTTTAAAAAGGGGGGCACAGGCCTATTCTAAACTTGGAACAAGAGTGGCTGTTTTTGTGTGAACATCATTCATTCTTATTTTGCTTTTGTTTATTTTTAAATGTCTTTTCTTGGCAAAATTAAAATGTTGGCAAGTTGATGCTGAAACATATATTTATTTGAAACATCCATGTTCCATGAAATCTTAAGGTCTGAGACTCACTGCTGTCCATCATCTCCTGCTCCTCTTACCACCAGATGGGCTGTTGTGAATTCCTTCTTCTGCCAATCTCCTTCTTGGCAGAATGTGCCCTCTGAGCCTTGGTTACAGCTGTGGCAGCGTGTACAGATGGAAGTCTGACAGCGCTGGGCTTGCAGTTAGTTCTGCCAACAGCTAGGGCACCATTATGATTTGTCCTTCATAGATTTGCTTGCCTTATTACAAAAATAGCCCATGCTCATTTAAAAGTTTTTTGTTTTTGTTTTTATAAATTTTAGGCTTAGGCAGTGTCTTGCTAAGAGGGCCAGGCTCTCTTCAAACTCATGATCTTCCTGACCCAGATTTCAGAGTGTTGTATTTAGACACTCAAGTCACCATACCAGGCAATTTATTACTGATTTTTAGTCATCAATTCCACCCTGATGCTTTCTGGCATTCCACCCTGACTCCCACTCTTCCCTTTAACCTCTTCCCTTCTTTCTTCCTACCCTCTACCCTCCAACAGCTGAGTGTTCCGTTTCCGAGGCCATGCCCACAGAGTAACATTCAATCAGTTCTAGCAACCAAGGACTGTTGTATGGGAATGAGAATGGAGGAAAAGCCACAAGATTGTTCAACCCATTTTGTTTCTATAAAGAATAAACATCAGCCAACATTGCATAGGACTCAGAATCATTTGCTGTATTCACTGAAATATGCATGTCCCATTTTGGTCCTCAGGCTCTTTGAAATTTACTTACACTTTAAATTTTCTGTAATGTATTTTGTTTCTGTATAACATGAAACTGTGAGGTTAGAAGCTGACTCAGGAATTCCATTTAACCATT